ATAATATAATAATAATAAAATAATAATAATAATAATATAATAATAAAATAATAATAATAATAAAATAATAATAATAATAATAATAATAATGATAATAATAATAATAATAAAATATCACATATTTCTTTGCCACCACAAATTATTTATAAGAGGAATAATAATAATAATAATATAATAATAAAATAATAATAATAATAATAATAATAATAATGATAATAATGATAATAATAATAATGATGATAATAATAATAAAATAATAATAATAATAATAATAAAATAATAAAATATATAATATAAAATAAAATAATAATAATAATTAAAAAAATAAAATAATAATAATAATAATAATTCAATATGGGCAATTTGGAAATTGTATAAAAGAATTAAGGGCAAAAAAGTAATATACTTGGTCAACATAAAAGGGCTTTTAAGTTAAAAAAAGAAGAAGAAGCTCCCCTCCCCTAGCTTTTAGCTTTTGGCTTAAAATAAGTCACTTTGATAATTGCCAAACACTCTAATAAGTCAAAAATTGGCTTTTAAGCCAGTTTGACCAGCTTAAAAGCCCATCCAAACAGGCTCTTAGTTGGTGAAGAGCAACTGAGGGAACCCATCCATACATGTGTCCAGAATAATAGAGATAGTAGAATTATTTTTTTCATAATAGAAAAGTATTCCCTTCATAGGAAAATGATAATTTCAAGGGGTAATAGTATTTTTGGTCCCTCAATTATAAGTAAGTTGATTTTGATTTTTCTAATATATGACTCAACACATTTTATCTTCAATTATAATCGGAATGTGCTCTTTTTATCCATTTGTACAGGAAATATGCTATAGATATATTTAGACAACTTTTAGAAGTACATCACTCTCAAATTTGAAGCAACGATACACGTTTAACATAATATTTGGTGATTAAATGGTAAAACATTTGGTTAATACTTCAACAAATTTGTGATTATTCATCAGCAAAGGGATTAAAAATATGCCCATTTCAAGTAATCAAAGATTAAATATTCTTAATCAAAGATTAAATATTCTTAATCAAATATCATAAGAAGTAGATTCAGATTATATCAGTAATTAAGGGACTAAACATGCTACACTAACCCTTAATATGAAGGAGTTGATAAGGTCTTTGGAGGAAATTAAAATAAAAAATGCAAATGTCAAACATCATGTGGATTCGTCTTTCCCTTATTCAAGGGAGGAGATCATAATACTGATGATATTTTCAGATTTTTCAATATTACTTAATTAAATAGTACATCTAGTAGTTCCAAGTTGCAACACAAAATTATTGATAAATCGACATGATTAACACTATTTTATTTATTAAACATGCGATCAGCATGTTTTCTGACTTTTTCCATTTCATATCATGATAATTTATTTTCTGCATTGCCAGCCTATCAGAAATTGCCGCATATATCTATATATAAAATATTTAATATTGAATTTCAATATTTTATTTCCGTTTGTCTTCTTTTTTCCATCATTAATATTGAATTTGGTCTAAATTATCGACCACATTCCTTTCCGCTCTATCATTTAAATTGCTTTCTTTCTAGAATTATTATCACTGGAGGACACCAGTAAAATTGAAAGAAAATTCGGAAAATGATTTATTTTTTTTTTAAAATCGTATCGCAATAAAGATTATAGCAAATGTACCTACACCAAATGTCATTTCCTTAATATAAATGCCTCTATTGGACTCAAATAACAAGCTTTAAAATTTTGGGTATTGAAAAAAAAAAAAAAAAACTATGTGAGTTAAATGAGTTGATTTCTTTAAAAAATGAGTACTTAAATTAAGCTTGATACGTGTTTCCCCGCCAAAATTAAAATAATTTGTGTTAAAATATAATAAAAAATATATATTTAATTTGGACCAAAAATATTTAAAAAGGGTATACTTAAACTATATCTGATAATACAATGTTATATTTTAACTTTTACACATACTAATTTATTATATATATATATTTATATATTACACAAACTAGAAGAAAGAAATTAGAATATTCTGTCATTATGTAGAGTTCCAATCATTACTCCAAAAAAACATAATACGTCTGTTGTTAGTTCCATTTCCGATTATTAAATCCCAAGAAATTAAACATCACACATTTGTTGATAATTTAACATTAAGCACAAAGACTGTGAGGTCTAATTGCTGGTTGGTCTGGCGGCAGATTAATTTAACAAATATATTTCTATAGTTTTTAATTACAAAGTAAGAATAAACAAGAATTAGCAATTGGAGTACTAAAAGTAGTGAATTTTTACCTTTATGATAAGGTCAACATTTAGCCGATTGAACAAGATCGTTTTTCTTGATTTTACTCGGAAATTCTAGATAAGGTTCTATAATGAAAGTCAAAATTTGACTTTTTGGCAATGGCCAGGAGATGATTAAAAAGTTGTTGAGGCTTAGACATCATGGCCATGTGATCAGAGCCTAAAATCTCTTCCACTTCATCTGGTGGATTCTTTTCAATCATATACTGTTTTAATTCTTCTGGTAGAATTTTATCTTCAGCACCCACAACGAACACTCATCTAACTGATCCATAATTTTTGCTCGAAAGAACCATCTCCTTTGATATGTCTTCCGGACTGTGTAAGTATATACGTAGTAGCCAGCGCCAAATCCTTTCACCAAACAGGGGAAAATAAAATTAAAAAAAATGGATTTGTTTCTAAGATAAACTAGTGAAATTTTCTTGTAGCTAGGTAGTTTCAGGGGTCTTCTTTATTCTAGTTGAAGATTTGTGTGTTTTTGCAGAGGATTCATAGCAGACTTCACTATGTCTCGTTTTGAAAAGAAATGAATCTTGTACCTAATTCGATCACAAAAAAATTAGAAATGAGTGTTGCCCAAACACCACTTTGGGCTTAGCTTACCTGAATCTGGCTGATGTTGTGAACCAAGATAACTCTATAAGACTATATAGGCTAGACGTGGTGAATAAGACTGATTCAGTTGATATTGTTGGGCTGAGTAAAATATTGGAGAGTTTTATATGGGATCCAGGCCCAATTAGTTATTGTTAAAAAGGTCTAGAGATTAGGAAGAACGGTTATGCAAATTATGTCGAAGCATTGGCTTTCAGTTATCTCTCATCCCCTTTCTCTGTTCTAGTATCTCATCCCCTTCTAGTTACCTTCTTCTATGTTAATCTATCCGTAATTAGTGTGTTATTACTTTCTTGTGTGTAATATACGTTGTAACTTGTATTCAGCGATAACAATATATATCAGTACTGTTTGTATTGGAAATCGGGTTTGTTTCAGCTGGGCTGATAAAGATAACTTGCCAAGTACTTGGGGCCAATGTTGAAGGTTAATGGAGGATTGTTGGGTCCATTGTCGTATGTAACACGATTATCAAGTTGAAATACTATTCCGCTACTAATCTGTAACAAAATTACAGAATAGTAGTATGTAACAAGAAGTAGTTGTGACTAAATTTGGCCAAATAATAGTAAATACCTTAGTGTAGAGTGTGAGTTGGACCAGGCATTAAAGCAGCAAGAAATATAGCAACTGAAATCTTTTCTGGAAAGCTTTCCATTGCTTTAGTAATGGCGAGTCCACTATAGCTATGGCCTACAAGAACCACTTTTTCATGTGCAGGAAGAGATGCCATGAGCTCTGTTAGCGGACTCAAGTAATCAGATAAATGTGGGATTTCAAGGACCTGCTTGGGGTTGATCCCTGAAGCACCCAAGCCAATAGCCGTGACATTATGCCCTGAAGATCTCATCAGTGCCGCAATCTTGTACCAAGACCAGGCTCCATGACACGCGCCATGAACTAGCACAAAGTGCTTGTTAGCGTTAGGCCATTTAGGCCTTGATGTTGTTGAATTTACATATGACAACAAAATTAGTATCAGTACTAAATTTATTAGTAACTTGATTTTCTTCATAATTCTTTTTTTCTCTTTTCTAGTGTTGAACAATGAGCACATAGTACAAAGAGTCTTATAAGGTGATAATTAACCTTGTCCACATTTTGTATTTTTCTTCCTTCAAATTCGACATTTCACTAGATCAGGGTTTACGTGGGGTTGCAGAAGTTTGTCAAATGCTACTGAAAATTATTGAAGTGTCTTTTGCTTGCGCATTTAGTTATCTTGAGCCAAAGTTACGTTTTGCTTTGGATTTGTCTTTGAGAAAGGCAAGTAAACAAATAGCCGATTGGAGGACCGCAATTCAAGTCATAGCTGAAAATTACAAAATATTTATATTTTACCAGTTTCAGAATTCAGACTTATGGGACTGAAGTGGATAGAGTTTGTCAAGCTAACTTCATATCCGTAAGTCTGAAGCTTGAACTATACCAAGCCTACTTCAGAACTCGTATATCCGTATTTGAACCTAATTTCATTGTGTTATTGATTGCGTTAAGTTCGGAGTTTTTCAGTTGTATAACTTTATTAATGCACCATTTACAGAACCCCGGATGCCATATGATAAGTTTAAAAACTTGTTTGTATATTGAGGTATATACAATGGTTTGATATTTCAATTATGTTTTTATTCTTGATATCATGTTGGTAAAGCTATCAAGATAGCTTGTCCACTGGTTGGCAATGTGCTGAAGAGTAGTAAAAAATTGAAGGGGGGTTAGACATCATGACCATTATGCCCCGAAGATGTCATAAATGCCATAATTAAATGTTGTTTCTTTTCAGATCCAGCATCCACTAAATCAATTAGAGGAAAATCATATAATTAATTGAATTATTTTGATGCTAGAGATTGTAGCCAGATGGATTTCTGCTGATTACTTTCTGAGAATATACCATATACTATTGGATGTTAAGCACATCTCATGAGTTATTGGAACAAAAGGATTGTGTACTCAATTGATCTAGGGTGCAAGCCCCCCAAACACTAGTAGTATCAAAATACAGAGGAAAGTTGAAGTACCATTTTAATTTCAATATACTTTATTATTGAATATTTAATCAAAGATCAATAAGCCTGTCACTTGAGAGCAATACGTAGAAGAAGAGTAAAAAGTTTTAGGGGCTTAGACATCATGGCCATGTGATCAGAGCCTGAAATCTTTTTCACTTCATCTGGTGGATTATTTTCAATCATCCAATGTTGAAATTCATTGGGTAGAGTTTTATCTTCAACAGCCACAATGAATACTCGTCTAACTGTTCTGTACTTTTTGCTTGAAACAACTATCTCCTTAGCAAAATCTTCCACACTGTATAAGTATAGCGGCCTTACTAGTGTAGTGGCTAGAGCCAAATCCTAACAACAAAAGGGAAAAAAGAAGAGGAAACTTTATTAGTTCAATGATGTTGATGTTCTACTCGAATCAACTGGAGAAAACATGCAACATTAGAGCCATCGTCATGACCATTATGCTTTGCTTACCTGAATTGGGCTCAACTGATAAACATTTCTTGCCAAGTACTTTGGACCAAAGATGAAGGTTGTTGGAGGATTGGTTGGTCCATTATCATACGTTACACGATTATCAAGTTGAGATACATTTCCAGTGAAAGATTGTAACTAAATAATAGTTTCAAAATGAAAAAGATGTTAGTAGCTGACTAAACAGATCATAGCAAAGGCAAAGTTGGTGCATTATATACATATATATATGTACCTTGGTTAAGAGAGTGGTCGCATTTAGAGTTGGACCAGGCATCAGAGCAGTAACAAATACAGCAACTGAAATCTTTTCTGGAAATCTTTCCATGGCGTTAGATATGGCCAGTCCACCAAAGCTATGGCCTACAAGAATCACTTTCTCATGTGTAGGTAGAGAAGCCATGAACTCCATTAATGGACTAAAGTAATCAAATAAATGTGGGATTTCCAGGACCTGTTTGTTGTTGATCCCTGAAGCACCTAAGTCAAGAGATGTGACATTATGCCCTGAAGATCTTATCAGTGCCACAATTTTGTACCAAGACCAGGCTCCGTGACACGCCCCATGAACAAGCACAAAGTGCTTGATAGTTTTACCCCCTGATGTCGTTGAATTTACATATGGCAACAAAACTATCAGTACTAAACTTATTAGAAACTTGTTTTTCTCCATTTACTTTCTTTTCTTCTTCTGAACTATGAGCTCATAGTATGAACCATTACAAGGCAATTATCATAGATAATCAAGGTGTTTGACCTTCTAACTTACCTCCCTGCTGAAGCAATCCTATGTCAAATATTATTTGTTGGGGATTTTATCATTCACTAAGTCAACTAGAGGAAGAGAATAGATTATTAGATTATTCAGGCTGAAGTTGCATAAAACAATTTGATTGTCAGTATCACTGATAAAAGAAAGGATAACAAAGATCAATGTCAACTGCAGACTGAACCTAAAAGTTTACACTATGCAGGATAAATGAGGACATTTTCAAACAAAGTCACAACCATTTGACATAAAATTACAGGGGACATGATCATAATTCATAAAGGTCATAGATGATTATATGTGTTACCTAACAGAGGACTCTATGGCCCAAGTGATTTCATACATCAGAAGAAAATTGTGAAGTGAGTGGGAATAATCAAATTAAGCACAAGGTACTTAAATCTCATGAAATCACTGGAATTTTGGTATCATTCTTTGCATTAAATTAAACCAAACATGTTCAACAAATATAATAAAAATAAGAAAGGGAAATTTGAACTGTTTCGTGAGGGTAGAAACGTTCAGAGTTGGACCAGCCATCATTATTTCAGTAACAAAAACAGCAACTGAATTCGAGTAGTGTGAAAATCTTGAGTGCTTGGATTTTGTTCCTTCGACATTTCAGCAAGTCAAAGGTAAGATGGGGCTAGAGTTGTAAGTCCAAACATAACATATGCACATTAACTTTTGGAATCTATGATCTGATGAAAATAATTGCAACATGGCGTTACTGAGGTCCTTCTCTCTCACACGATATGACGGAGTTCCTTAGAAGTTACATTATTTTGTCAAATGCTCATGTACTGGAGATGTAATTAGAAAGGCACCATTTCACAAAACCCCTGACGCCAAGTAATAAGCCCAAAAATTACAACTTGCTTATGTTGAACATTTCCTAGATGTTTTTTTTTTGTGGGGAACAGCAAAGGGAATCTCTACACAATGAACAAAAGACTGATTCAACAAAGGGTAATCTAATTTTATTTCAACTATGCATTATTCATGAATATGCAATCACAAGCTGGTTTAAGCTATTAAGATAGCTTGTCATTTATTGGCAATACGCATAAGAAGAGTAAAAAGTTGACGAGGCTTAGACATCATGGGCATGTGATCAGATCCTGAAATCTCTTCCACTTGATCTGGCGGATTCTTTTCAATCATTAACTGTTGAAATTCCTTCTTTAGAATTTTATCTTCGGCTGCCACAATGTACGCTCGTCTAACTGATCCATAATTTTTGTTTGAAAGAACTATCTCCTTTGATATTTCATCCAAACTGTGAAAATAAATTGGCCTTACTAATGTAGTAGCCAGTGCCCAGTCCTAACACCAAGAAGGAAAAGAAAATCGTTTGTTACGGCCATTCTCATTATCAAGAGTACCAGTACTCAGCTATTTCAATTTATATTTTTACTATGCTCTGCAGTCTGCTTACCTGAATTGGGCTCAGTGGATAAAGATAACTCGCCAAGTACTTCGGGCCAAAGATGAAGGTTGTTGGAGGATTGGCAAGTCCATTATCGAATGTAAGACGATTATCAAGTTTAAATATTGCTCCACTGGATGACTACAGTAAAGTATAATAATTTCAAACATGAATGTAAGATAACATAAAGAATATCATCTCATGGCTAAATTTGAAAATGATACCTCATTGAAGACGGTGGCTGCATCAAGAATTGGACCAGGCATTAGAGCAGTGACAAATATAGCAACTGAAATCTTTTCAGGAAAGCTTTCCATGGCTTTAGATATGGCAAATCCGTCAAGGCTATGGCCAACAAGAATCACTTTTTGATCTGCTGGAAGAGAATCCATGAACTCCATTAGTGGTCTAAAGTAATCAGATAAATGTGGGATTTGAAGGACTTGTCTCTGGTTGACCCCTGCACCACCCAAGTCCAGAGCTGTTACATTATGCCCTGTTGTTTTTATCGACGCCATAGTCTTGTACCAAGACCATGCTCCATGGCAAGCCCCATGAACAAGCACGAAGTGCTTGCGAGCTTTAGGACGTTTAGGCCCTGACATGGTTGCATTTACACATGACAACAGAAGTATTAGAACTACTAGACTTGTTAGAAACTTGTTTTTCTCCATATCTTTTTCTTCTTCTTTTGAAGAATGAGCACATTGTATGAACCATTACAAGGCAATTATATAATTCCAGGAGTTTGACATTTGTTAATTAATTTACTTACTTTCATGCTGAAGTAACCCCATGTTAGGTGCTAATTGCTATAGGGGCATTTTATTTTTTTATTGGATGTGTTTCTTGGAAGTTCAATCATTCATCAAAAGAGAATAAATAAGTAAAATTTCTGTTTTCACCAGATAATTGGAATGAAATCATTCACTATTTTATTTTCATATTGGATGGGTATATTTGGGCCATTTATGTAACGATAGATATATGTGAGCCACTTTTGTAATATAAGACATGTTCTATCTAACCTGGCAAAAGTGTATTCCTTCAATAATTTCTGATATTGAGAGAATTTCCCAACTGTATTCGCAAGTCCATCAAACTCTCCAAAGAAACAAACAACAGCCTAATAACACAATAATTTTTTTTTACAATGGCCAACCTTGATGCTGCACTCTAGAAATAATTTCCCAAATAGGCTTCAAATAGCCTCCAACAAATAGTATCAACTCACAAACTGGTCAAACAACAATTCAACTCATTGCTGCAGTCATAGGCAGTTTCCAGAATGAAGAAAAAATTAGCAATAAACAGAGTCGTCTCAAACCTGACCAAAGAGGGTTTACAGTTTCTGTTTAGAGGATTTTCTTCTTGGAAAAATGGTCCTATGATAAGGCGACCACCACAAGTCAACCGGAGATGCCAAACAGATTTTGTAACAGAAAGCCGGACCAAGATTTGTCCATTCACGCGCTCTTCGGACTGGGTTGTCTCCGCCAGCTTGAACTACGCGTGTGATTCACGCACTTCTCCTCTGGAAACCGGCTTCTGGGGGTTTTGTAGATCGGGGAAAGATGGTCGTTCTTAGGTTGGTGGCGGCAGCTAAATTTCAGATTCAAAAATTTCATTCACATGCTCACCCACTTCCGGCAAGCTTTATGAGGTAACTGGGAAAAATATTTTCTGATACCATTTAAAGATATGACATCTAAGGTAAGGAGAGAATTGCCCAAGTCTATAAGCAGACTGCCCATTTATTCCCCAATTAATGCGAAACTTTAACCCAGTCTAACCATCATTATTATTATTATAGAGAGGCCAATCAAGTTTTGGATGGACTTGCTAAGGAATCAACAAAATTGATTCTGTGAGTTTTATTTTGACACTAGTCTGTGAGAGTTTTATCTTGTCAAATCCTTGATTATTTTTCTCCCATCTTTCCCTTCGTTTGTTCAATCTTTCATCTTGCGCCTTCAATCAGGTACCTTCCTACATAGTTGTTTTACCCACGAGATAAGGAGAAAGTGTTGTGGTACCGATTGTAACAGTCCAATTGAACCAAGATAGTAATATTGATATGTAATTAGAGGAAATAGAGGTCGTTTATTGATGTCAATTCCAAACACTGAAATTACAACGAAACGAAACAACAGCTGAAAGAAAATGATTGAGATGTCAAATTAACTAATTCGACATTGGGGCTTCCATGAAAGAATTCATGAGATCGCCATAGAGATGCATCATATATGTGAATTGCTGCTTCCCTTCTCAGCTATGCAGTCATGTGTAGTTTAAATTATTTCAATTAAGCTTCATTCTTGGATATGTAATGAAAAGCTGTGTCTGTCATTTGTGAGCAATGCTCATAATAAGAGTAAAAAGTTGAAGGGGCTTAGACATCATGACCATATGGTCAGAGCCCTCGATCTCTTTCACTTCATCAGGTGGATTCTTTTCAATCATCTGCCTTTGAAATTCCTTCTTTAGAAATTTATCTTTAGCAGCAATAATGAACACTCGCCTAACTGATCCATATCTTTTGCTTGAAGAATACATGAAGAACATAATTAACTCAGTTTATCAAATATTAACTTAATAGCAACATGAACATGGAACTGATTTAAATCAGTTTATTTTTCCTTATTGGTGTTAGGATTTGGAGCTGGCCACTACACTAGTAAGGAGATATTTTTTTCAAGGAAAAGTTATGGATCAATTAGGCGAGTGTTCCAAACAAAGGTGTTTATGATGTCAATAACAATGGAAAGAAAATGATTGAAATATCAAATTAACTAGCTTGGTAATAGGATTTCCATAAAAGAACTAAGATCGCCATATAAATGCATAAGATATCTAATTGACTGAAGTATTATTCTTCTTAGTTAATTAACAGCTCTTAGTTATACTTGTTGGCAATACTCTGAAGATTATAACTGAAGGTTGTTGGAGGATTTTTAGGTCCATTATCTTATGCAACTCGATTATCAAGAGCAGATACTACTCCTGTCGATGCAAATGCCTGTTACAAATTAGTATATTGAGTTCCAAATATGTAAGAGTTTAAGCAAATATAATGGTTAATGTTGGTACCTGAGTGTAGACGACGGTGCTTGCATTGAGAGTTGGACCAGGCATTAGAGCAGTGATAAATACAATCTTTTCTGGAAAGCTTTCCATGGCTTTAGAAATTGCAAAGCAGCCAAAGTTATGGCCTACAAGAACTACTTTTTCATGTGCAGGAATGAATAGAAGCCATGAACTCCATTAGCGGACTCAAGTAATCAGAATAATTTGGGATTTCGAGTTGATACCTGAAGCACTCAAGTCAAGAGCTGTGACATCATGTCCTGAATATCTCATCAATGCCACAATCTTGTACCAAGACCAGGCTCCATGGCATCCCCCGTGGACTAGCTAGCACAGAGTGTTTCTTAGTTTTAGGGACTGATGAAAAGGTTGCATTTGCATATGGCAACACAAGTATTACAACTACTACACTTGTTCAAAAAAACTCGTCTTTCTCCATATCCTTCTTTTTTTGAAGAATGTGCACATAATATGAACGGCAGTTTTATAGTCACAACAAGTTGGTTTCTGCTAACTTTTATATCTCAAATAGTCACTTAATTGTGATTTTTTCTCTCATAAAATCACTTAACTTTGATTTTTAACTCAAAGGTACTTAACTAACGACTTTTCTCTTAGAAAATTACTCAATTTTTATTTTAACCCTAAAATCACTTGGTATGAAAGTTTCCTTACAAAATCACTCAGTTTATTTAATTAAATTTTTCATTAAAATTTGCTAATATATAATTTTTATTTTAAAAAAAACATTTAAATCATTTTAATGACTTAAACTGAAAATAATTATCACATTTAAAAGTATTGTGATACTACTAATAAAGTAGTTATTGTTAAAAATAAAAAAATAAGGGATAAGAGTTTGAAAAATACCCCAACTTTGGTCGGATTTGCTGTTGCGATACTAAACTTTCATGAGGACCTATTACCTCCCTAGACTATTTAATACCGTATTTTAAATATATATATTTGCCCACGTGGACATAAAAAATAATGCAAAATTATAAATAGTAATGTGTCCACGTTAGGGGTGTGCACTATTCGGATTAAACTGAATAACCAAACCAAACCAAATCAAACCGAATTTTTATTTGGATTGGTATTTTGTTTTTTTGGATTGGTTTTGGATTAATAAATTACTTTGTTTGATTTTTTTGGTTTATTCTTTCCTCTTTGGAAAAGGTTTTGGAGTAACTAGTTGGAGTAGGAAAGGTTTTAGGACTCTATAAATATATGTTTGTTTCTTCTAACACAATAACAATAACAATAACATCCACAATGTAGACGTTTAAGAGTTTAGTTTATAGGGAGATTTATTCTCTCTAAAGTTTATAATATTTTTCTTTTATATTAGTTTTCATATAATAATATTATGTTTTTAGTATAAGTTTTTGTTATCTGATTTATCAACTATATGATTTGCAAATTGTAAGCTTCCGCATGACGCCCAATCACCCTTCAGAACCCAACACATATCATAGTACCTAAAGTTTTTATTTTTATTTTTCAGAGTGTCGTAAAGAAGGAAGAAGCGGACGAGTTTGCTAATTAAGTTCATACTTAATGATGTATGTGCTCTATAATTGGTAACAGGGATAAATAAAAGGTGTAAGGAACTTGACTTACCTTGTCCTACACTTGAAAAAATCAGTAATTATAGGAAATAGAGGTCGTTTATTGATGTCAATTCCAAACACTATGATGGAAATATCAAATTAAGAACTGAGATCCCCATATCAATGCATCAGTAATTTTATTCTCAGCCTTACACTTATTCTTCTTAATTAATTAACAGCTCTTAGCTATACTTGTTAGCAATGCTCACAAGTGTAGTAAAAAGTTGAAGGGGTTTAGACATCATGGTCATGTGATCAGAGCCTTGGATCACTTCCACTTCATCTGGTGGATTCTTTTCAATCATCCTCTTCTGAATTTCTTTCTTCAGAAGGTTATCATCAGCAGCAACAATGAATACTCTCCTAACTGATCCATACCTTTTTCTCGAAAGAACTATCTCCATAGAAACATCTTTCACACTGTACAAGTATATTGGCCTTACTAGTGTAGTTGCCAGTGCCAAATCCTAACACCAACAAGGAAAAAAAAAAACAGACTTAAATCAGTTTCATGTCAATGTTCCGGTTAAGTACTCAAGTAAGTCTATAATTTGGAGAAACTAGTTAAAATCTCCTTATTGGTGATACCTACAAATTATTTTTTGCAAAGGAAGTCATTAATCACTTTAGGTCCATTCACTTGACAAGAATAACAGAACTTGGCTATTTCAATTATATATTTGTATTATGCTTTGCTTACCTGAATTGGGCTCTTATCGTAAAGCTTAACTGCCAAGTATTTGGGACCATAACTCAAGGTTGTTGGAGGATTAGTAGGTCCATTATCATAAGCAACACGATTATCAAGTGAAGTTAATACACCAGTGTCTGCCAAGAGCTGTAACAAAGTATATTTAGTTACAAATATATATGTGAAACTGTAACCAAACATAACATATCATCTCATGGTTAAAGTTAAAAAATGCATATGAAAAATTGGTACCTCGTTGTAGAGGGTGGCCGTTGCATTGGGAGTTAGACCAGGCATTAGAGCAGTAACAAATACAGCAACTGAAATCTTTTCTGGAAAGTTTTCCATGGCCTTAGAAATGGCCAAACCACCAAATTCATGGCCTACAAGAACGACTTTTTCATGTGCAGGAAGAGAAGACATGAACTCCATTAGAGGACTCAAGTAATCGGAAAAATGTGGGATTTCAAGGGCCTGTTTCGGGTTGATTCCAGAAGCACCCAAGTCAAGAGCTGTAACATTATGCCCCGAAGATCTCATCAATGCCACAATCTTGTACCAGGACCAGGCTCCATGGCATGGTCTATGAACTAGCACAAAGTGCTTCTTAGCTTTAGGGATTGACAAGGTTGCATTTGCATATGGCAACACAAGTAGTAGAGCTACTAGACTTGTTAAAAACTTGCTTTTCTCCATATATTTTTTTCCTTCTTTAGAAGAATGAGCACATAATATGAACCATTACAAGGGTAGCTTTATAATCCGAGGAGTTTGGTATCTGCTGACTTACTTCCATGCACAAGCAATCAATTATTTGAGTAAGTGGGCAAGCAGTGTAGTAAGGGGCTGGGGATTTTGGCCTCTCTATTAGTAGTCATGCTTGGTCTATGAAATTATGAGCCACCCACTGCCATGTTTTCATGGCAGGTCAATTTGGGCAAAATTCACATCAATTCATCTAAGAGTTGGGCTGATTTTGACTAACTATGTAGTCCATATTCCATGGAAGTACTGAGATCGCCATATAAATGCATAAGATATGTGAATTGACTCAAATTCTATTCTCAGCCTTACACATGTACACCTTATTCTTCTTAATTAACAGCTGTTATTTTGAGGCATTTGATTTTTAACTTACTTCCTCGCAGAAGCAACCTCAAGTTGGCTACTCTTTCAACAAGTGGTCAAGCAATGTAGTAGGGGCTGGTGCAACTTGCAAGCCTGGGGATTTCAGCCATGATTGAAATGTCAAATTAATAGTTGGAATAACATTTCAGTGTCACTTTAATCCGTCTTTCACAAGCCCAGAGGACATCTTGAACAGATTTCTCATGAATCATTGCATTCATTAGACTACTATCTTACATCACCTAAATATATTAGAATTTTAGAAACAACTCCAAATCAAAACATTTGAACACGTTATGCATTATATATATGGTGGTCTAAATGACAGTTACTGAAGTGAAACTGTGTTCACTACAAAAAAAGAAAAGGTGAATTTATGGAGGTGTAATTGTGGGAGTTGTCATAACCTCCACAAAATTATATTAAATATGGATTACATTAGCCTCCACTAATTTTTACTATTATACTTGCAGGGCTCTTAACCTTAGTCATTTTTTAAATTATTTTTCGCGCCAGAAATAGTTTTTTCCCTCATTTTATAATCCTTTTCACTAATTTTTTTATTCCAAACATACCCTTTTGACTTTGTAGTAGCCAAGTATACTCGCTCATTCTCTGTCTCTCTCAAATCACTTCAATGAAAATCACAGCAAATCACAATCTCTTTCATGAATCTCATCCGTCCTCATCTATCTTTCATTTCTTAGGGCTCTGTAGAATTATTGACATTGGTTAGCGGTAGAAATTGATTTTAAGTCTAAATTTTCCTATTATGTTTTGCCAGAAATTTTTTGATTTCTTCAAATATTGGGATACAAATCTATTGACGTAAGGTATTCTTCTTTCTTATTCTAATTTACATTTTCTTTCATCTTGCATGTGTGTTTTAAATTTATTTTCTCCTGTTACATTTGCATTTGTACGAAACATTTGTTTTTCCTTCACTTATTCTAGGGATTCTGATTATGTATGTGGCTGATATTAGTTTTTTCTGTGTGGTTTTGTAATCCCAAATTTTCTCAGCTATTTGAGGTGTAGTTTCGAATTGTGGTTTGTCGTTTTGGCCTAGCGTTTCTGCCTAGGCTTTTTTTGTGCTCTCCTCGGAATGGTTCTACTCGGCAATGAGAAGCAGTGGCGGAGCCAGAAATTTTAATAAGGGGGTTCAAGATCTGAGAAGTAAACACACGAACTAGTGGAAGAGGGTTCGACATCTATTATACATAACTAAAAAATAATTTTACGTAATATTTTTCGACAAGGGGGTTCGGTGATCCCCTCATTATATGCTGCCTCTGCCCCTGATGAGAAGTAGAGATAGAAAATGGAGGATAGAGAGGATGAGTGAAAATTTTGAATGTTGAAAATGGAGTAGAGAGAACAAACTGTTGAGTCATGTTTCCTACATATTTTGCAGCTTTTCAGCTCTATTAGTTGTTAAATGCTATTGAACCAGTCGTTACTTGATTCTCTTTTCAATTTCCCATTTATGAACTTAATGTGGTCGTTATATACGAGCCAAAGTTCTACAAGTTTCTAGGTTGTAGTTAACCACATTACATTCTGTCTCTCGTTAAGTTGTATGGTGGTTGATATACTCGAGAAGAGATAAATGCTTTACTGGATCTCTTGAGTTACTTGCTTAGCTTTTACCATTCACTTTGTTCTGGTTGTATATTGAGTTATTGGGATTAAATAACTGATATTTAGTCCATTTTTGAGCTGTATATATCAACTTAGTATTGTGAAGCTCATACTGTCACACGTTACATTGCAACCAACTTAGTGCTTTTTATATTGTTTTTCAGTTTTCCTATGAGATGTTCATGTATGTGTGCTTTTATACCTTATTATCCCATGATGTTAATACAAGTAACTTTTCGCCTTTTTGCTTGTTGTTTTGTACCTGCGTATATCCTGTTTTTGCAAGCCGAAAGGGTCCTTACTGAAAATAAATTACATCTTTAGAATGTAATTTTAGAGTTTAATAATTTCTAGAAAGGACTGGTAGAAGTGTATATTCAGGTAAATTTAGGAAAATCTGCTTGTCATGACCCTGTAGCTTAGTGGCTGTGAGAGTAGAGATGATGAAATTGAGTAAAGGAATTTTTGCCCCACTTAAACTTTTAGACGTCCTTATTCTTGCTACTTATGTAAGAAGCCATATATGCAATAGACAACCTAACTGGGGTAGATATAAATAAAGATACTAAAACGGAAAATGATCAAAATGCCTTTAAACTATGTGAAATTGAACAAAAATGTGCCCTTAAGACATTTCTACCTATTAAGATTCAATTGGACTGTCACTTGTGGTATCACCCTTTTGAGATGTTGAAGACCTGTCAACAGAAAACTCTAAGAAGGCCTCATCAACAAAGTACAAAGCTATTTAAACTTTTAATTAGAATGTAAGACTTTTATATTTCTTATAGGTATGGCTGTAACATTTGAATAGTACAGAAGGATATCTGAATTATTTTTCATCTTCAGGAATTTGAAAATTTTGCCTTCAATTTTTATTTTACAACTCAATAAATTTTTAGATAGTATTAGTTTGATAATCTCTAAACAGTTTATACCATTCACATAGGGGTACACGTGCAACATGCATCTCTAGAGACTACTAATTGGACTAAAATTCAATAGTTACAGGGAATAGAGGTCGTTCATTGATGTCAATTCCAAACACTGAAACTACAATGAAAGGAAATAACAACTGAAAAAAAATGACAGGAATATCAAATGAACTAGCACGGTAATAGAACGTCCCTGAAAGAACTAAGAGTGCCATATCAATGCATCAGATATGAAGTTTTATTCTCAAGCCTTGCACCTATTCTTCTTAATTAACAGCTCTTAGGCGTACTTATTGGCAATGCTCAGAAGAGCAGTAAATAGTTGTTGGGGCTTAGACATCATGATCATTGTGTCAGAACCCTGGATCTCTTCCACTTCATCTGGTGGATTCTTTTCAATCATCAACCGTTGAAATTCCTTCTTCAGAAGTTTATCTTCAACGGCAACAATGAATGCTCGCCTAACTGATCCATACCTTTTGTTTGTAATAACTATCTCCTTAGAAACATCTTCCACACTGTAAAAGTGTATTGGCCTTACTAGTGTATAGGCCAATGCCAAATCCTAACACCAAGAAGGAAGAAAACCCCATTTAAATCAGTAACAAGTTGTCGCCATGAAGTACTTGAGATCTGTAATTTGGATTAACTATTGAAATCTTCCAATCGGTGAAGCCTACTAATATTTTTTAGCAAAAGAAATCACTTTAGGGTCATTCTCATGACCAGAATAACAGAACTTATTGGCTATTTCAGTTAAAGTATATATTTGAATTTTGCTCTGCTTACCTGAATTGGGCTCCGCTGGTAAAGGTTAGTTTTAATGTACTTTGGACCTAGGATGAAGGTGGTTGGAGGATTCGTCGGCCCATTATCGTATATAACACGATTATCAGATTGAGATACTGACTTGAGTAACTGTAACAAAGGATATTTAGTTCCAAACGTGTAAAAGCATAAACAAACATAACAGATCATCTCATTGCTAAAGTTGGAAATATAAAACATTTGGTACCTCATTGTAGACGGTGGTTACATTGATATTTGGACCAGGCATCAGACCAGTGACAAATACAGCAACTGAAATCTTTTTTGGAAAGGTCTCCATGGCTTTAGAAATGGCTAAGCCACCAATTTCATGGCCTACAAGAACCACTTTTTCATGTGCAGGAAGAGAAGCCATGAACTCCATTAGTGGACTCAAGAAATCAGAAAAATGTGGGACTTCAAAGGTCTGTTTCGGGTTAATTCCTGAAGCACCCAAGTCCAGAGCTGTGACATTATGCCCTGAAGATCTCATCAATGCCACAATCTTGTACCAGGACCAGGCTCCATGGCATCCCTTATGAACTAGCACAAAGTGCTTCTTAGCTTTAGGCCCTGGCAAGGTTGCATTTGCATATGACAACAAAAGTATTAGAACTAGACATATTAAAAACTTGCTTTTTTCCATATCTTTTCCCCTTCTTTTGAAGAATGAGTACATCATATGAACCATTACAAGGGTAGCTTTTATAATCGGAGGATGTTTGATTTCTGCTACGTAATAGGGGCTGGTGCAAACCTAGAAATTCTGTGTTAATTCATCTAAAAGTTGGGCTGATTTTTTATTAAATATGTAGTCCATAGACCATAGTACTGTTCCATAAGATTACTTTTCAATCTTTTGTTTTCATGTTTGTTAGATATATTAGATTTAGGAAAAATGTTTTATTTAGTAATTAACTAATATATTAATCTCTACTTTTGCCCCTGTTTATATTGAGTGTTTCTCTTGGTAGTTTAATCATTCACCAATTCAACTTAAGGAAGAGATGAATAATTAAAATGTTTAACAGCCTTAAAATCATGACCATGTAATCTATTCCTTCAACTTCTTACACTGAATCAACCCTCCATTCTTTGAGTCCACTAGAGCTAACTTATCTTCATTCGATACAATAAACACTCAAGTAATTACATGAAATAGAAATAGAGGTTGTTTATTGATGTCAATTCCACACTGAAATTAGAATGGAAGGAAATAACAACAGAAAGAAAAAGATTGAAATGTCAAATCAACTAGTTCGGTAATAAGCTACGGACTTTGATGAAAGTACTGAGATCGCCATAAAATGCATTAGATATGTGAATTGACTCGAGTTTTATTACCAGCCTTACACATGTCCGCCTTATTCTTCTTAATTAACAGCTATTATTTGAGGCATTTGATTTTTAAAGGAGTTTGACTTCTTCTAGCTTAATTTAGGTTCATGTAGGCAAGCTGTTATTTGAAGAATATTTGGGCAAGCAATGTAGTAGGGGCTGATGCAAGCCTGGGGATTGTAGCCATGATTGCAATGTCGAATTAAAAGTTTGAACAACATTTCAATGGCACTTTAATTTGTCTTTCACAAGAAATACTGAAATAACAATGAAAGGAAATAACAACTGAAAGAAAATGATTGAAATGTCAAATTAACTAGCTCGGTAATAGGACATCTATGGAAGAACTGAGATCACCATATAAATGCATCTGATATGTGAATTGACTGAAGTTTTATCCTCAGCCTTACACATGTACCCCTTATTCTTCTTAATTAACACCTCTTAGCTATACTTATTAGCAATGCTCACAAGTGTAGTAAAAAGTTGTTGGGGCTTAGAAATCATGGTCATGTGGTCAGAGCCCTCGATCTCTTCCACTTCATCTGGTGGATTCTTTTCAATCATCAACCGCTGAAATTCCTTCTTAAGAGCTTCATTTTCAGTAGCAACAATGAACACTCGCCTAACTGATCCATATCTTTTGCTTGAAAGAACTATCTCCTTAGAAACATCTTCCCCGCTGTATAAATAAAATGGCCTTACTAGTGTAGTGGCCAGCGCCAAATCCTAACACCAAGAATGGGAAAAAAAAAAAAAAACCTAATTAGTTCCAAGTTGATGTTGAGATAAACTATTAAAATCTTCCAGTAATGACCGGAATAACAGAACGTATTAGCTATTTCAATTACATTATGATTTTTTTTACCTTAATTCGGCTCAGCTTATAAACACAAGTTGCCAAGTAATTCAGACCTAGGATGAGAGTGGTTGGAGGATTTATAGGTCCATTATCGTATGTAATACGATTATCAAGTTGAGCTATTGTTGCATTGATTGCCTATAATGAAGTATATTTAGTTTCAAATATGTATAAGTTTAAACAAACATAATAGATCTATCATCTACTGGCACAAATTATGAATATGAAAAATTGGTACCTTAAGTATAGATGGTGGTTGCATTGATATTTGGACCAGGCATTAGAGCACTAAGAAATACAGCAACTGAAATCATTTCTGGGAATGTTTCCATGGCTTTAGAAATGACGAGTCCACCAAAGCTATGGCCTACAAGAACTACATTTTTATCAGGAGGAAGTGAAGCCATGAACTCCATTAGCGGACTCAAATAATCAGATAAATGTGGGATTTTGAGGGCCTGTTTGGGGTTGATTCCTGAAGCACCCAAGTCCAGAGCTGTTACATTATGCCCTCATCAACACGACAATCTTGTACCAGCACCAGGCTCCATGGCATGACGTATGAAGTAGCACAAAGTGCTTCTTAGCTTTAGGCTCTAACACAGTATCATTGCTTTTCTCCATATATGTGAACTTGCGCTTAATTATGATAATTGATGCATCTCTTTAAGTGAGGTTTAAAATTTAAGTCGCTTATGTATCTTATTTTAAATTTTTATTAACACCTTTCTAAGTTATTGTTAGTAGGATTGTTCATGGTTATGGTTAAAAAAACTAAACTGAACCGCAATTCGAACCAAATCGATTAAAAAAAAATCAATATTTGGTTAGGTTTGGTTTTAAAATTTAAAAACCGACATTATTTGGTTTGATTTTGGTTTTACTAAAAAAAAACCGCAAAAATAACAAAACGGAACCATAAATTAGATATATATATTTTATTATATTTTAATTAACTTAAGTCTTTAACTTTATCATTTTCTCAAACACAACTATAACAATCCTATGTCCAAGTCAATCAAAATCCATTTTAGTCTTTGCCTACCCTACTTCACATAAAATAGTCACACTTTCTCTTAATTGAAGCACTTTGTTCGTGTAATGATAACTCTAGTATTGCTTAATTGCTTAATTGAACCGACAATAGCTTTTACGTGGATTTTTCATGTACCAGGTGTTTGCGCGTATCGAGATACGTACATCCCCAAAAAAACTATTACTTTCAAATCAAATAAACCAGAAAAACTGAACAAACCAAACCGACAAATTTTTTTTCGTTTGGTTTAATTTGGTTTTAAAAATTTTAAAAACCAACTAGATTAGTTTGGTTTTGGTTTTAATCCATAACCGATCCAAATCGAACCACTAGCACCCCTAATTGTTATCACTTGTCTTGTTCTAATTAACAAAAAAATCTTTAATCTTTCAAAATTTGAAAATGCCTAATTTTGGTTAGCACGATACAATTTTATATAATTAAATCAAGGCAAAATGGTCTGGTGAACCCTTATACTTGTATCAGTTTGTATTCTAAATCCTTCTACTTACACCTTTGTCATCTGGACCCTTAAACTCAATTAAAATGAGACTTTTAAGCCCCTCCAACCATGTGTGTAGCTCACTCTCCTTTATATAATTGACATGTCATATCCACGTCAGATATATTAATGCCACATCATAATTATTTCATAACTATTTTTTAAAATTATTAACCAAAATTATTTAATAAAATGTAAAATAATAACATTTTAATTTATTATTGGCATTTCTAATTCTCCCTATTTCACAACCAAACATCGCTGGCGTCGTCGCCATTTTTGCCGGCGAAATCACATATACTTTCTCCCTCACCCATCTTAATCTCCGCCGCACACCATCACTATTTTTCTTTCCTTCTCCAACCTCCACAGTAACAACAACCTAAACCACCGCAAAACCAGATCTGGCCACCGCACAACCAGATCTGGCCAAACTTTTCGTAATCCTCTCACCCCAAATTGCTTACAAATACAATTTCACACCAACCTATGCCGTGAAACTCGTCGAAATCTACCCATTATAGTTTCTCCCCTTCCCATTGTTTCATGGCCCAAACCATCGCCGCCGAAACCACTCATATTCCTTCCTTTACCTGCCTTCATCTCTGCCACACGTCACGACCATTTTCCTTTCCTTGTCCAACCTCACAAAACCAACAACCTAAGCCAACACACCAGATCTAGCCGAAAAATAGATTTTGGAAAAAAAGAAAAAAAGGATTGGGCAAGGGATGAATATGGCTGAAAATGAGGTGTAATGGGTGAAGAAGAAGGAGTTTTTTAATTAATGGTTTGAATTTTTTTTTTTTTTTTATAATTTTAAATATTTTTTAAGTAAAAATGCTCCTCACTCGCCTTAATAGGCGTGTAGTTACACACTTTTGCCAACTCAGACATCTTACTGCCACATAGGCCTGGTCAACAGTCAGAGGGGTTTGTTAAATTGTGTTTTATTGAGTTTAAGGGTCCAGATGACAAAGGTGTAAGTAGAAGGGTTCAGAATACAAACTGATACAAGTATAAGGGTCCACCAGACCATTTCGCCTTAAATCAAATGAGTATATTAAAGTTAGTAGTAGTGAATGTTATAACATACGGTCAGTTAGCTCAACCGATCTCAATACTTTTGACACATGTACAAGAATATATATAATACTATTTTTAAGATAAGAATTAATTTTGGACCTATAATTTTCTTTAAAATTTTAACTTTTTTTTTTTGCCTATTTTTTTTTTTTAAGTTGGGATTGAAAAATTGACATAGTGTGTAACGAAATCAAGTAAAAAAAAAAAGCAAAAAAAATTATGATCAGAGGGACCCTTAGTTACAAAAATTATTTAGTGATGGAGTTACACTTTTATGCATAAGTTAGTCGTTTGTTTGCAAAATTAAGTATTTATTTGGAATGAACTTCCAAATTGGTTTTTGTTTGGAATGAACTTTTATTTACAATTATTGTTCTTTGCCTTACAGATTTAATGTTGTTCCCAATAAAAAAAATTGTACTATTCTGCAAGATTACTTATGGATTACTCGGTCAGTAAGATGATAGTGTAGGGTGGCGATTGGGCGGGTTGAGTTAAATTTGGACGGGTTATAATTTATGGGTTTAGATAATAATTGGGTCAAGACCCAACTGAATCTAAATTTGCTTGAATTAAAACGAGTTGGGTCAAAATGAGTTGGGTAATGAGTTATATAAAGGGTCAAGACCCAATTCAATTCAGTTTTTACCAAATTTAATTATTTTATTTGTTCTTTTAAAATATTTTAGTACCAAATAACATTATTTTTTCTTTATTATGACTATATATAACCTATTGAATTGAAAAAAAAAATTAAAAATATTTTGACAAGATTCCTCATGAGCCAATTTGACCAACCCATTTTTTAATGGTTTGAAATAGTTTGGGTTAAAAT